CAAAATGTTTCAAACGCATTCCCTTTTAGCTAGCGATGGCGGTAAAAAAAAAAAAAAAAAGGGCAGAACAGACCAAAATCCCAGACACCCACGCACGCCGTTAGAAGATGGGGGGGAGATTAGTTGTGTCAATAAAATTATTGGTCAATGTATTTCCACTTACTAACTATTTATGTGATAATCAACCGATTAAGAGATGAGTTAACTATAAATAGAATAAAAGAACATAATACTAAGGATGGACATGTGAATTGTTTATCAGATATAAAGTAGCCTGTCAACTAGTAAAACGATGTGCTGGTACATATTTGGGCATATCCGACATTCAGCCACTGTGGACCCGATGCTTTCGTCATATGTTTACAAGGAATCAATAAGCTGTATACTCTAATATGCTATACATCCCCGCTTTGTTTGTCAAACGATTTAAAGATTTACGCTTTGTTTAAAGACCTAAGCCACGCAGAAGGTTCGACGAGAGCTCTTGATTGGTGACAAGGACATACAGATGACATAGGCAGTATTTACTGTGCGATATAAAATACCCACATTTCGTATCGATGCGTAATTGTTTGTCACTCACTCTCTCTCTCCACCTCATGTGTGCAGCTTGTGCGTGCGTTTCTGCATTCATACACATAGAACAATTAGATGGAAACACGGATAAATTGCGGAAATAGTCCTCCGGTGAACATTTCCCTTTTTTTGTGTACACTTCACTGTGAACGCAATGACGTTTATTTAATTAACCCTTGCATCAATCGATTGCGCTGACTTGCTCACAATGTCAATTCGCAAAAATAGATGGTTGTCTGTGACGAGGAGTAGAGAAATTGTGATGGAACGTGTTTATATTGGGTAACGTTTTTGATGCAATAACGGATTTACCAGTTATGAGAACAATGAGTTTTTGCGGTGTTGAATTTTTTTTTAACCGACGTGCTTTGCATATGTACTTCCAATCAAGTTATTCTAACATTTTTGTGGAATGGTGTTATTGGTTGATCATCATGTATCAGTGCAAACAATAGTAAATTTAACTTATTTATATCAGATTGTATTGGTAATTTAAATGATGCCTGTTTCTATACACACGTTCTTGTCACTCAAAGTCACACTCTCAAATATCCCCAAACACTTTTCCCCCTGCGGTGCGAATATTTAACCAGGTGTCACACAGCAAAAAACGATTATGCGTTTAACACAATTATAAGTTCAGAGTTATTGCCCGTAATTCGTCCAGAGCGAGCGTGTTAACCTTTAACCGCCCATTAAGCCTAGACTCACCCAGCCCACTGGACCATTAAATCAAGCCTAGCCCCACGAACTATTACCTGCTTTGGTTATCATTTATTCCATTAGCCCGTTGATATGTATTCCACTTGACTAGTTATATTCATATTGTTTTACCAACGTTATCTTTTTAACAACTCTCTTGTTACCTCTCTATCATGCCAACTCTAATTATACACGTTAATAAAATTTGGCCAATCACACATCTTTGGCCAATCACGCCATTACAAACCTAAGATTAACAAGAACCCGAAAACTCAAATTGCGACCAACATGCAAAACGAAAAACCGTTGTAAGAAAAAAAAAAGCCTTTTCCTTATCAAGACGTTGACAACAAAAATAATCATCATATCAAAAAGTTTCTTATAACGAGGGAGGGGTTTCCTTGTATTTACTGTTAGCTCGCTCGGTCGGTCGGTCGACTCACACGACACGTATAACTGTTTGGTATACGTTAAAAATATGATAGTAATAGGGAAACGACTTTTATTTATGAAATTCCAAACTCCGTTTTTCAATCACTGGTTCCTAATCAGGTCATGTTCTGAGTGAAAAGTAATTATAGACAGAATGTGGACGTTAGTGCAAGTGCATGTGTATGCATGCATATGTATCAGAAGAAGATGAGCGGGAGGATAAGGAGCAAGGAACGAAAGGAAATACTAGTTGTATAATGGTCTGTTTGTCAACTATTTTATTGGCAGTCTATATTAGTCTACATGCGTAGTACTCATTTTTTGAATGTATGAGATTCCCTTTTGTTGCAAGTGTTACGGGAACATAATGCATGTGAACCATCTCTTATGTAAGAATTGTGACATGACAATGTGACAATACGTCGATCGGGGAAATTGCATAAATGCTGAGATAGGTGATGTGTGAGCGAACCAATCGTTCTTGTCACAATATTGCCAATTGTCACAATGCAACAAATTATATAAGCATACGGTGCACGTTACTCACAAAAGATAACGGCCCTTTTACATAGCTTCTCTTCATGATCCATGTTCACTTGTCACCTTTATTTTGGTAATTCTTTATTTTTTAATTTGTGTAGCATGTCCTACGCCCCGTTTGAGTAATGTCATATAAACGTTTATTGTTTCAACTACTACAAGAACAAACACAAATTAACGGCCAACAAAGAAATTTAACAACGAGCGTTGGAAATTAACAATTATTATTACACACAACAAAGAGGACAGAGTAACAATGCCATCTGAATACAAAAAGCCGAACGAGCGAATAAACCGACTGATGTTTGCACACGGTCAAGTTCGTCCATTATCTGAAACAACGAATTTGACGGAACAATAAAGACTGCCTTATTCCATTAAAATTTTACAACAATTGTTTAATGTTTAGTTTATGAAAACACACGATGCACCAATGGTTCAATTGGCATTTTTTTCTTTTCCCGATTTCCATTTTGTTTTGGCTGTCACTATTGTCGAATTTGGCATGACAACAAGGATCCAGGCACATTATTCCAAGAGAAAATTTGGTAATCAGTATAATCGTGTTTATTTCAAGAATTAATTAACTCTCAGCCAGTCTTAATCCTAATGAAGTAATAATAATAATAATAATAGTGACTTTTCTTTCTGAATACAAGATTTGGGATCCCCCAATTTCAATTGTTCAATCGCTGTTGCACGATTTGTAACTTTAAATCTGTTCGATTTAAATTTAGAACAAATTTTAAGTTTCAGCGTTCACCTAGATTATCTCTTCTGCATACAATACGCCAAGCGTACATGAAAGGAAATATTCGCTATTTTGTGTTGCAATAATCGTATTTGGCAATATGAAAAACTTTAAACAATCCCAACAATGCCAAGAAAATTAAAAACGTCAAGATTGAAAACCTTTGGGCATGAGCTACTTTATTTTTTAATTCGATAAAGGTCCAAGACAGTTATAGTTAGATTAATCTCATTGCATTTTCATCTTGACTGCCAATTCGTGGTTTAACAGTATCAAATTTCCTCGATTGCTAGGCACGCAAATTCAAGGGTGTACATTAATACCATTAAAGTTAGTGAAATAAGTAAGCCTAAAGTAGTCCCAGAACAAGATATGCGTTTAATACCGAGAAGGAAATAACTGCACGAGTTTCTAATCAGTCAAAGAATAATTGGTGCGCAATCTCGGATGCAAAGTATCGGAGAATGCATATTTGTTGGATTTATTTAGGCAGCAGAAAAAAAATAGTAAACTCGAATACAATAACATTGATTACTAGTTGGTCTATTGTCAAATTTTTAAGCTTTGCATGTTTGTACTTGCATCAGTTCGAGTGTACGTCTAGTAATTAAAATTGACCTTTATCGACGCAAAAGTATAGATTAGGTTGACAGATTTCCGATTCACCATCTTGGAGGACATCCTTTATCGATTTAATAAGAATTACTAATAGTAAAAATTATCAATAGATGATTCATTAATTTCCAAAGCGTAGTGCTTATTCCAAGACTTTGTTTTTTGTTGACTCGACCAACAAGGAATTAATTAAACCTTGTCCATTTCGCTTGCGGTAAAAACGCACATGGAATTTCAATATTTTGGTCTAATTAATCCTAATTTGGTAATTCTAAATAAAGCTCGATTGTTACCACCAAGATCTCAACAACACTTGGCAGTAATTTCATCGTTAACAGCAAAACAATTTGCTTGTCAATGAAATCAACATCACATGATTACCCTTATTCGTATCACACAAGTCGCACAAAACTTATTGCTGGCCGATCAGACAATATTATGTATAAATTTGGTATACACCAACGTTCCAACAAACATCGATTATATCGTTACACATTGCCAACGAAGGCTTTGCATAAAATTTTATATAATAATATGAACCAAAAGGCTCTGGGCATCTTGTTTCTCTTCATTGATAATGGTCTATTCGCCACGTACTTTACAAAAGAAACGTTTCATTCCTAATACTACACTACATGTTGATTTATAGTTGATTCAAACAATATTACACATTCGTTAACGTGTTTTACTATACTTGTTAATCCCTTCTCTCTTTCCCACCTGTCCTCTTTCCCTCTTTCTCTTTCTCTTTCTCTCTCTCTTTCCCCACCGCAACTTTTTCAAACACTCAACATTTCATATATAAACATATTTACCCCTCTGCTAGATACATAGACACTTTTAATATTCGGTAGGGAGAAACCGAGTTAATAGTAATGCATTAAACTCCTTACCGAGTTAAATAATACAACTTTTACACACACACTTTGTAATTAATATAACACTCAACCTTCACTCGTTTTTTTTTTTTCACAACATGAGTCAATTAAGCAAGAACGAGCAGCTTTTGTTATCTCAATCATCCACTGCTATCCCAATTCCAAAAATAGCCCTCGGTTCGTCTACCCACAGAAGCGAGATTCGCCACGACTCGCCTTCAAACAAACCCGTTGCAATCTCACAATTCAAATTCAACACTAGCGATGCGCGCATATTTACGCAGGCTGCCTCTACTGGTGCTGACATTGAGCAGATAATCGAAGAGGAGGAGAATAAGAGAGAAATGGGCGAAAAGGTCGAAGTGATCGAAAACATGGAGGAGAACGTGAGGGAAGCGTATATAAGAGATGAAGAAAAGGCGCTGGATGAGAGTATACAAGATGAAGAAAGGAGGCGAGCAGAAAGCGAGTTACCAGTCTTGGATAAAGTATTAAACAACGAGTCGGGAGCTCCACTGAGTCTGTATAATTTCTATGCTTATTTGAGAGAGGTATGGCAAGCTGAAGATAACCTCAACGCCTGGTTGGATATCATAACGCATGAGAAGGCTTTCAAGCGCTGGGTCGAGACTGAAAAGAAAAAGAAATCCGATCCCACATCAAGTAATCTCACCTCTCGTCGCTCCCCGCCATCTTCACCGTTATATCGTGAATCCTATTCTGGTGCTCCGAGTGTAGTCTCTGAAGATAGTGCTAGTCATGCAATAGTGTCGGTCACAACCGATGAGGATCAATCGGTCATTCACAGCGACCGATTGAGCGGCGTCTCTAGCGAACGATCTACCGAGTTGCGTGTTACGGAAGACAGCCTAAAAAAATCGGCCAAAGAGGTTTATCGCAAATATGCAAGTTTGAATATATTTCCAGAGGAAAACAAAAAGACCATGCATGATCTGATTGAGCGCCAAGGCCGATACAACCCGGTCGTGTTTGCTACATCCAAGGCTTACGTGTATCACATAATGTCCGTGGTCTATTTCCCGAAATTTATCCAATCTGCCGTCGAAACAAATCTCACGGCCATCCACGCAATCATTGCGCTTCCTCTCGGTATAGTCGCGCTGACTGGTGGCATTTCGTTGATTTTGTTTTATATATTTCAAGGATCGGAATCGCGATCAGTGAGGCTCTGGGGTTTCATTCCTATATGGTGTGGATGGATGCTGCTGCAAATAGCGGCAACGAGGTTTGCACCTCCGTTGGTTCTACTTAAACTGAGCGAACATAAACTGTTTCGGTTTCATAGGATCAAGGAGAAGGGAATATTAAAAGCACATAGGAAAAAGGCGATGCAGCTCCTTGTCTGCGACACTCTTGTTGCTATTTTCAATATCGCTTTGTTAATGGCTATACCACCTATGGCCCTGTACGAACAGACAAAGCAGTCATAAATAAACTAGTTTTTTTTTTATTCCGATTGATGTTATTAGTTTTCTTTTTGTTTTCTTTTTCTATTACTTTCTGTAAACATTAGTAAATAGGTTTCTATGGCGGGTTCCATTAGATTAAACGTCACAAATTAAAATGAAATTGTTGTCAATGACACAGTCCTTCGTTAAAACAGTTTTTGTGGTTTCATGTGGTAACTTCATGTGCTTCAATCCATTTGGACACTTTTGCAGCCATTATCTCGCTATGAGCTTACGAGTATCAAGAGAGAAAAAAAGGCGTCAGTCGTCAAGCCAACAGGTATTCGATCGTGATCCAATCTTGTATACTCACTCAAGACAAAAGCATGCGGACATCCATCTTGACAAATGAAAACTTTTCCGTTTGGAAACTTTTTACAAAGAATCTCATAATGTTCGATTGGCGCCCAATCATCTCTCTCTCCAAAATAAAACACAAACTTTTCCAAATTCTCTTTGATCACCTCTTCATCCAATTCTTGGACTTGCTGCATCTCCGTCATTGCCATATGCAAGGTATTCTTCACCACCTGTCCATGGAGAAGTTTTTGGGTTGTTATTTTGGCGTAGGCGACGGATTGTGATGTACATAGTTTCACCAAGAGGGTGAATATGTGTGGAGCCAAGATAAATCGGAGAGATGCAATCAAAGATGAGGCGAGGGTTGTATTTGTCGGATGGAAGAGAGGAGACAGCAGGCGTCCGTTTGGAGTTTTGTGTATGTGCTGCAGAGTTGGAAAGAGAGCATATACTTGTATTATCCCGTGATCTGGGCGAGATCTTAACAACTGCAAGAGGGAAAATGTTGGTAAATTTTGCGCAAGACATAATATTGTTGAACGACGACACACCGCACCGCACCGCCCCGCACCGCCAAACCCCCAACTCTCACCTGTGTGGCAATAAAAGCTCCAATAGAATGTCCGCATAAAACAAACCTCGGAGCAACGCTGTGAGAGTGTTCGCTTGTGAATTTCCTCTTTAGTTCGTCGAATATCGCAATTTTATGATTAATTTGATCCTGTAAGCTGTATAATCTGCCATCCCCTTGGTTATGGTCACCATGCGAGTGGCCCAAGTGCGAGACTAGAGTGAATAGATGGGAATTAGGCGTTTTGACGACGACGACGACGACAAGAAAAACAGGCCCGGCCCGATTGAAAGTTTTCATCACATTACATTCCACCAACTCTCATACTCACCTCCAACAATTTCAATGTTTCCTTCTCGCTCCCGAAAAATTGTATCGCAAAACTCTTTATAATACTCAATCACACCCGGATTCCCTGGTATTACAAACAGTACCAGTGTTCCTTTCGGATCGTTCATTTTCTCTCTAACACTTGGCCACCACAGAGTCTCTGTTAAATTTCCCGTTGCATTCCATGTCGTGCGCAGGGGTCGTTCAAACAGCGAGGAAATTGGCATATTGAGTGAGAAAGAACAAGTAAAAGGCGATTGCCTCGGCTGACAATGATATGTCGGGGCGGGTGAACGCAATTGAAGAAATTGAAGCAATTGCAGAATTGCGCGAGACTTTTAAACTTAGTTTCCTCATGTGAAAATTTAAGATTATTCACATGACGATCTGCGTGGTGGTTGGATTTATTCGAGCTTTAACATGACAAAATTACTTTCACATGAATGAATGTTCACTACCCAAAATTTAATCTTTTTCTATTACTATGTTAAAGATGCAATTGAAAAAAAAAAAGAAACGCAATATCTTTTCTATCGTAGAAAAATCAAAATTTCCATCATCGCAACACAAATCTTATTAAACAGAACCAAACCCGCAATACGAAACTTTTTTCTCAACCTTTTTTTCTTACTGATTTTCCTTCCAAACAGTTTTCAGCGTTTCCGTTGTACCTTTCAATAGTTTTAGCGCACCTTTGCTCACTCGAACAACAACATCATCAGACGTATGGGGGGTTGTATTGTTATCAGATTCGCTATTTGCTATTACTTTCTCAGCTTTATTGATGACGCGTAGAAGGGCTTTATTCTTGAAGTAATAGGATTTGATTTCTTCGGAAAAACATCCGGGTGGATCGCCAAGTGCTGGAAATGTAGAGATAGCGAGGTAAGATTATGAATAAAAAAAACGTACACTTTGTCTATTGTGACATCAATTCAGCCTCGACATACCCTTAGCGATTGCTCTTAGACTCAGAATATATGCCTTCTCATTATAAACCGCCACAGATGTGACTGCCTCTTCTGTGCCAACAAACTTCTCGTATCCAGCCTCATTGTACCATGGTGATCGCGTTAGCACCAGAGCTTGAAGAGAGATAAATAGTTGTAGTAAGGATGATGAGGGTGTCCAGACTTCCGTTTCATCTTTACCGTGCCAGGTATTTAGGAGGCTTAGGCAGACTAACGGAGAAAGAACGCAAGTATAATTTACAAGGGGGCTCATATCGGGAGGGGGAGGGGGGAAAAAGCCGAAAAACACAACCATGTATACCCACCTTTTCCGTCTTCATACAGATTGGGATTGATCCGTCCGATCCCACCAGTCCACGAATGAAAGAATGCAAGTGGTGGTACATTAGGGAAATTATGTGGTATTGCAAAGTCAAACAAAAACGGTGCATCTTCATATCTGTAAAGTAAATTGATATTCATTGATAGACTGTTGTACAATAATTCACGCGGATTACTGTTGAAAAGTCACTTACGGCGTTTGTGACGACCCGAATATTAACACACGAAACAAATCCATTCGGTTTTCGAACGCACGTACCAAAATGCCGTCTATCGATGAAGGGGATGTTAAGCGTAAACGGGGTAAGCAAGCAAGTATCCTTCTAGTACGACAAACATTGTCTTGCTACCTGGTAATGATTTTCGTAATATGCCGTGTTCTTTGACTATGCGTTGTATGCATGCTCTTGATCGACTCTATTTTATAAATCAGCAATGGGTGATCAAACATTTAATAATAAATTAGAAAATGCTGTTTGAAATAATTACTTCTGCTGCAAGCTTCAAAAAGCGGTGATTTTCAGGAGGTTCTTCTAGTATCGCGAACTGAAGCCATCCGTATGCAGCAAGACCCGCAGGATCATCTATTTCCATTTCATTTTCAGACAAATACGTTTTCCATTCTTCCTTTTCTGCAGTGTTGTCGTTTTCATCGTCTTCATCTACAGTCTCCCAACTGTCACTGTCAGATTCAGCATCGCTTGCGTCAGATTCACTTGACCAATCTTCATAATCGTGTATAGTCCTATTATGAAACGTAAACGTATTATTATTTCCATTCGAGTTTGTAGTGATATTGACATCATCATCATCTTCCTCGTCGTCTGAGTCCTCGAGTACGACTACTTGGTCTAAAGGAACAACGGCTGTGGATTTGTTTGCGAGCGAGATGACAGCGCGACCATCCAGCGTCAGTTGGGCAATTTCTCCAAACCAATCGAGAGATCTATCTGAACAGAGTCACAGAGACGAATACGTGTTTAGGTGATTTCGTTATGTACTTGTAAAAAGTGTATCATCTGCAGCAGCTAGTTATTAGTAGTAATCATTATTATTGACTTCTTCCTATGTTAAACTGACCTGTTTTATTACGATTGCCCGCACTTTCTTCGTACTCCTGCAAAGTCTTTGCCTCTTCGTCTGATAATTTCTTTAGTCGTGATGCGATTTCTTCCAGTGCAGCATTGTCGTTAATTACATTTGACAATGATAATAGTGGCAACAGCCTTTCGCAATGATTTTGTTGCCACAAAAGTACTTTATCCCCTAGCCCTGCTTGCAAGTCTGGACGTACGACTATCTCATAAAGGCTCAACTCTTCGGATTCGTCCTGAAATTGAGTAGACGCGAACAGGACAATAATTGCTTACGTTATAATTCAAACTGTTCACTATTGAGCTCGCCAAACATCAATTTTTGTAAACGTACCTCGAGTTTACCGGGCTCTTGTCCGAACCAGCGTACTGTTGCCAACCTATCTACTGCATTCACGCGCTGAACAATGCCCATGCGTTCCGTCCCTGTTTTGCCGTCAGTCTTGGCAAGTACATAATCGGCCTAATAGTTCCCCAATTACATCGTTAACCTATAGTCATAAATATGTATTCAGTCAACATATTCCGTCATACCGGCCATACGTCCTGATCGTCTACATTCAGATATGGTACAAGATCAAGTGCTCGCACGTCCTTCTCTATAGTCATATCTTGCCATTGAATATCGACCGTAGTTCGAATGTTGATGACTACCTAAATTTGCTACTACGTT